AGGTAATGGAGCAAATAGAGAAATGAACCAAGAAGCATAGGGAAGTGCATGCAAATTTGGAACAGTAATTATTGGGAATTCAGTACTAAAAGCAAACTTCTCCCTAAAGCCAAAAGAAATTAAAGTCATAAGCAATGATGGAGAGGAAGACAAAGAGAAAGAGAGGAAAGGGGTTGAAATGATGAGGTTGGAAGAAAGTTGGATGGACCTTTTTATCTTTGTACATAATTCTTAATTACAAATATCAAATAATATCAAGATAAAATTTGGTCATATTAAGCTCATGAATTTTATTTTGACGGTTCAAAATCAACATGTTTAGCTATGAAATTTTTAAGTTTCACATTATTTAAATATGAGATTTTTTTCAAACGTTATATAGTAATAGAGTGATTGAAACTAAGATTAATACACATATATCGTCGTCTCTGTCTAACTTGACTCATACTTAATGGCTGATTCACGCCATTAAACTGTGTTTTTTTTTCTATTAATTATTTATTTTACTTGTTGTGCACATCCTGAATATGTATGTATTTCCATCTCATATAATATTTTTGTATTATTAATATATGTATGTTTATTTTAAAAGAACTAGTTATCAATGATATTTGGATAAAAGGGTCTTAAAAGTAATTAAATGAACCGAATAAATGAAATTAACTTGGAGCTAATAAATCTAACCAGATGACTTGAGTGTAGAGAAAAGTAATATAAAGCAACAAAAAGTATCACAGCCAATTCTCCAACCCATCTTTGAGTTTTCTCTGTGCTTCATATACAGATTTTGATTTCCCAGGTAAAGGATGGCCTCTCAAATCATCACTCTCCAAATTCCAACCCTAAACTCCTCCATTTGCAGCACCAAAACCTATGCATTTTGACTCTCTCTCTCTCTCTCTCTCTAATATTGTCAAACTGTTTCATTTTCAGAGCTCAAACTACAAGGCCCTGACACCACAAACAATACAAACAAAACACATTTAAGACTGAGTTTGTAGTACCCTTTGGGAGGGAGGGTTACCAGTTCTTTCAAAAAGGGAAAACAAAAGATAAAAGTCATCGGTTTGTTGATGATTAATCCCATGCATGAGATGATGTGTTCCAGCAGAAAGCTCCTTTGCTTCCTTCTGTTTCTTCTTTTCTTGTTTGACTACTTGGATTCTTCTTCTTCAAGCTTCTTCAATCCTGTTGCGGCTTCTCCTTCTCGAGAGTTTATGCCTGTTATGGTGGTCAATCCCCTGGTGGATTTGAAGCAGCAAATCATGGTCATATTAAAGATAAAGATGGTAATGAAGGTGAAGTTATTGGTGATGAAAAGAGAAAAGTTCATACAGGTCCAAATCCTTTGCATAATAGATGATTTTGGAGCAACTCTTTCCTTCAATTTTTTGCTTTTTTTTCATTTATTTTTCGAATATATTAGTGAAATTTGAAGCTAATCAATCTCAGTTTGCATATAAATCATAAACTTTTTGTATTTTTTTAGAATTTTGTGTTTATATATGTATATATATGATTAATGTTTTGTTGCCAGTGATGGAGTTTTTGGTTTGATGACTATGAACTATGACCATTGCTTAGATTTTGGTTTGATGGTGTTGAATACTAATTAACTAAGATATTAAATTATTATATTTAAAAATATAAATATATTATATATTTAAAGTTAAATTTATAAAAACAATTATAATTGATCTAATACTTCAATTTGTAAGGATTTAAATTATTATTAAATCAAAAATATTGAAGACTCTAGCCTCTCCAATCCATTCTTAATTAGTCGTCCTTGAATATAAGAATGTGATTTTTAAAGTGGTACATAATTAAATTTAAGGGTAAACTATTCATGATCACTTAATTATAAAGAGATTTTAATTTGATCATCAATTTTTAATTATGTTATTTGGATCGCTTAGCTATTTCAATGATACCAATCAAATTACTAGTCGTTAACATTTGACAGATAAGTTGACATGGCAATTACTAAACTGATATATTTGTATATTTAATCATCATTACTTATCAATTATATAATTTGATCTTAATTTTAATTTAATTCAATAAATTTAATTATCCAATAAATGATGACATGTGTGTTAGCATGGGTAAATGCACCCCAATTCCCATGTCACTAATGACACGTGTCACCATACGATTATATGATTAACTTATTGAATTATATTAAAATTATAATCAAGTTGATAGAATAAATAGATAATAAGAACTAAATATGTAATTATACTAATTTTTTAATCGTAACGTATAATAAGTGGTTTGATTGTTATAATTTAAATAATTAAGTAGTCTAATTAAAATATTTAAAAGAATGATAGTTAAATTAAAACCCATAGTTAAATAATCATAAGTGGCAAATGAGTATTGATACACGTGGTTGAGATTCATGAATTTGAGTTTGTAAGGCCAAGTTCGAATCCTATCATCGTCACTCTTGGTGGGTAATCTGTAAAGTCATATGTAAATCTCAATTAGGTCTTAGGTATGCCCTGACCCTGAACTGGAGAGCCACTCCTTACCTAAACTTTTATGTACCAAAAAAAATCATGAGTGTAGTTTACCTTAAATTTAAATTTGTAATAAATTAAATAAATGTAAATATTAAAAATAATTACAAATATATGAATTTGTGGGTGGATGGTTTATTATTTCTTAGTCGGTTGTAAATTAACTAGCTATGAATTATTATGATTAAGATGTCATTTTTCTTTAATGATGGAATTCTTCATTAATAATTCTTAATTGTAGCAAGTTTGTCCAATATCTAACTTTATTTCCATAAGTAATTAAAAAGGTAATTTGTCAACTTAATTGATGTGATGTAATTTCTTACGATGACATAATTAATTAAAATTTTGTAAAAATTTATACAAAATGAATTTATCTGTATACTATACTTTAGTTTAATATTAAATTAGACATAAATCCGATTCGATCAATCAAAAAATCCATATGAAATGTAAGATTTAAACGAGACGAATACAAATATTTATATGAAGAGTTTTTCGTTCATGAAGGAAGAAAGAAAGAGTTTTAAGGTAATTGATGTTTTAGTTGTAATTTATGAATCAAATTAGATATTAACTCTTAACGTTTTTGTTAACATGGATCATCATCGCCGTAATAAATATTAATAATTGAATTATTATTTTGTTATTTATCAATTTTAATAGTAAAAATATAATTTTTAAAAAGTTTAGTAGCCAAAATAAAAATTCACTCAAAATTTAGTGACCATAAAATATGGTTTACCCTAAGATCAAATTATAAGAAATTAGAAACCTAAAAAATTATATAGAAAATTTTTAAAAATCATAGAGTAAACTATACGATAGCCTTTATGTTTTTAGTTTAATTGATTTTAATCATCGGTTAAAAAATATAGTTTTGATCCCTTGTGTTAACGGTTTGTTCGGTTAAATTTATTGATCATCAACTCTCTTTAACCTATTAACATAAATCCGAGTTGACAAATAAAAAATAAAAAAATCCTACGTGTCACCTCTTCTTCTACCCAAAAGCTTCTTCCTCAATATCAATCCACATTTCGGCTCCACTGTAACAACAAACAAGAAGACTGAAGCACTGCAAGTACCCTTTCTTCATATCCTCTCGACATATTTCAAATACTAGAGCAAATCCAATATTTTCCCCCTTCATTTTTATCCATTTTTCTTTCTTCGAAATGTAAATCTTTGTGGATGACCCACTTGCATTCTCCTTAAACAATCGTTAAAGGAAAATATTTTCGTCCTTAAAGACTATATTTTTCTTCTGGGTCTTGAGCTTCAACCTCAGCTGTGGCCGCATCTTCACTTTCAAGATGCACCACCTTTTCTCTGAACCCGTTCAATTCCATTGGCAAACTCTCTCAGTGGCATGCAAAAAAGGCTTTCGAGTACTACGCCGTTTAGCTCATCGAGACCGCCTCTTCCGCGGCCGAAAACTCTCTGATATCAATACGATCTTTTCTTTCTCTGATGTCAACTCCACCTTCCGAATGAGTTGATTGGGATTGTAAAGGATCTTTATGCCTTTTTTTTGTATTTTCTTGGAAGTTTAGATAAAGGGTATTGTTATAAATTTGTTCTTTTTATAATATTGTTTGGGTTTTCTTTTAATTCAGTTTACATTATACCACAGTGAAATTAGGGGCTCCGGGGTGAAGTTCATGGTGGCACTTGATACAAGGAGTGGTCCTTTTTGGGTGCCATGCAATTGTACCCAATGTGGTGATCAGTTCTTACAGCGGTTGTCCTTGAATTTATATTAAACTATGCATTTGGGGTAACAAGATTTCGAGCTTAGCATAAATGACCCGAAAGGATCATCCACTAACAAAACTACAAAAGAGTCATCCACAACAGTAGCTTGTGTTCAAGGAAGGAGGAGAAGTGACACATGGATTTTTTGTGAATCACTTTTATTTTTTAATTGTCAACTCAGAAATTCGTTAATGGGTTAACGAGATTTAACGGGACCAAAATCAACGAATCGATAACTTAAGGATCAAAACCAGTTTTTTAACCGATGATCAAAATCGATCAGACCAAAAATATGGGGACTATCCGTATAGTTTACCCAAAATAATAAAACACTGGAGTATAAGTATCAAAATGAATAAAAATAAGGGTAAAGTATAGTAATGGTCACTGAATTTTTATAAAGCTTTCATTTAGGTCCCCCAACTTTTAAAACTTGCAATACAGTCCCCAAACATTTAGTCCATTTGCAATATGGTCCCCAACAGTTACATCAGGGACTATATTGCAAACGAACTAAATGTTAGGGGACCATATTGTAAACGGACTAAATATTGAGGACTGTATTGAAATTTTTAAAAGTTTGTGACCTAAATAAAATCTTTAAAAAAGTTTAGTGACCATTACTATACTTTACCCTTTTTATATTATACAGTTGATTTAGACTCGTTAAAAATTCAAATCAATCTGCGATCATTCATGTATCTTTCATTTACAGCTCTATCCAATTCCGTAATCCTTTACGCTTTTAATTTCACTATCCTCCACAGTTTAGTTGAAAATCCCTTCGGAATCCTAGATTCCATGGCGCCGAGGAAGAAATAATCCGAAGGGATTGCTTGCTGTCCATATACAACGACGAGGATGACGAAGATATGGAAGACATCGAAGAAGATCACTGCCAACAAGCTGAAGAATTACATGATCACACCGCCTCTGGAAGAAAATGACCACGGAGAATCAAACAGAATGGAAGAAGATTCGACAACTGACGATAATATGCTGCCGTTTCCGCACCAAACCTCCACTTCTCAATATCAACGACTAGTTTCTTCGAAAAGTAGTGGCCGAGGAAAGCTTAACATTGTTGATTACGGCCACGATGAAGCTGCCGTCTCGTCGGAGCACGAGGTAACTCTCTACGCTGCTCCCCCAAGGCAGGTCTTTTTTTGAAAAGAAAAAAAATCCTTGTTTAATGACTTGTGGTTATATTGATTTTTTATTTTTAAGTGCAGGAAGGAGAATTAGGAAGCAATGATGATCTTATGTTTGGTTTAGAGCATCAGATTGCTAATGGTACTTAACTACTTATTTGGTTTTTCTTATGATAAATTTAACTTCAAATGTTACTCTTGAAAGCGCATTCTTTCCAATTTACTATTTGTTTTCAGTTGATTTTCAAGGAAAAACATCTCCAGCGACTGTTCAGGGAACACCGGAATCACCCAATGTAGAACCATAACAACCAGAGGCAAACAACGCTATTACTGAGTCAGCTATAGACAAAGTTGATCCATTGGATAAGTTTCTTCCACCGCCATCACAGGACCAGTGTTCAGAGGAGTTACAAGTGTCTTTTTTATGCTAGCAGATGGTAATTATACTTCTTTGGATGTAATTTTTACACTTATGTTGCCCTTGTAAAACTACCTACATGTTGTACTGTTGAGGTAGATGAATACGTAGTGTTGCAAGTTTTATGTTAATTATATGTAAAGTAAGGTAGATATAGTATTGTAGTTTAAGTTTTTAAGTTTGCTATCACAAGATCTGCTGATGCTTGGCACCCTTTAAGCTGCAGATGGTTTTATGCTGCTTTTCATGGGGTCCGTTTATATTTGTGTAACATCACTGGCTGCTTTGAAGTTGTTGATTGATTCAATGTCATCTCTCTTTTTTTCTTCTAACAAAAAGATGGGTAGCTCTTGCATGTTCTGGTTGCATTCTTTTTGCCATTTTGGCTCAATGAACATATTTAAATGACCTTCATTCTTTCTGTTACGTTATTGCAGAGGAGAATAGACAAATTTCTCTACTTGAAGCAATCTGGAAAAAGCTACAATGCGGAAGTTTGTAATAAGAAGGATTATAGGAACCCCGACATTTTGCTGCATCCTGTGCAGTATCAAGATATTGATCAGATAGGGTCTTGCTTCGGCAAAGATGTATTTTATCCTCATGGATATGACAAAACTGACTACTATGATGAAATAGGTTATTGCATTTACTTATGTAGTTCTCTCCTGGTCTATTGAAAAAGCTTAGCATGTCTGAATGACATTGGACACATTCAAAGTATTACTTCTTACTGTTGAGTTTTGCGTTATTTTATTTGTTCTGCCAAAGCTTTTCCTGTTGAACTGTAGGCTTTCTTATTTGTTTTTTAAGCTTCTGTACACTTGTTTGTTTAATGGCTAATGCAGAGGCCGACATGAAACGTGAAAGGGAGAGGAAGGCACAAGAAAGTAAGAAGAATCAAAAGGTTGAATTTGTGTCTGGTGGAAGTCAACCTGGAGCGGGTTCTACTGCCCCAGAACTTGGCATGCCTATTGCAGGTAACTGTTAAAGAAACATTCTGTAATCGCTATTGCTATGCTTGTAAGTGGTATTTTTTTACTCATGTCCTTGTATATGAGCTACCAATAAACATAACATGGTAATATAAAGCTGCTCACATGACTTAGTTTGCACAAAAAGAGGGAATATATATTTTGCTTATTTTGAATAAATATTAGGGTAAAGTATAGTAATGGTCACTAAACTTTTCTAAAGCTTTCATTTAGGTCCCCCAACTTTATAAACTTACAATACAGTCCCCCACCATTTAGTCCGTTTGCAATATGGTCCCCCGACAGTTACGTCAGTGACCATATTGCAAACGGACTAAATGTTGGGGGACCATATTGCAAACGGACTAAATATTGGGGGATTGTATTGCAAGTTTTAAAAGTTAGGGGACCTAAATGAAAGCTTTAGAAAAGTTCAGTGACTATTAATATACTTTACCCTAATAATTAATTGGGTTTGGATGCTAATTTCTTAAAAAGCATGGCAAAGACAGTTTGAAATCGAGCAATAAAAAAATAGCTAAAATTAAGAAAAACAAATCTCCAACAAAGCTAATTATAATATGTACTCTACAAGTCAAAGGTAAATTCGACAATCAAGGTGTCTTGTTTGAAAAACAAAACCCTTAGTACTTAACACAATGAATTTAATAATATACTCTAAAAACATAATAATTGAATATTGAGCCTAATAAGTTGAAGATTCATGTAACAATTACGTTTGGTCCTATTCTATTTGGGTTTCATAGAAATACTTTTAATTGACTCATGAAATAATTATTGACATTTTTATATTAAAAACTACTTTAAAATGTATATTTCTCTTAAAAAATTAGACTCCTCAATTTTATTAATTTAATCATTTTAATTCTTAAATTTCATATTAAAAAAATATTAATCTCTTGCTAGGCAAATTCTAGAGTAATAAATGACGATAATTTCAATGAAAGTTGACTTTGGTAGGGCTATATTTAATACAACGTATAAGCTCCGTGCAGTATAAATATGTGTAGCTCAGTGCTCCATTTTCATACCAAAGCTTCAATTTCTAAGCGCTTTCTACTCTCAATGGGATTTCATTTCCTTATCCTCTTTGCTCTACTCCAAGTGAGCTTTAATATCTTCTTAATCTCCAATATTTACTTCTTCTTTTGTTTTAATTTGCTTTATTTTTACATTAGTTGTTTGAACTTAAGTTTAATAAATCGATTTATAAATTCACCTTCTAAATGATACATGTATTTAAATTCGTATATCATCATCGTATCTCAATTTATTTTTTCAGATTGTATATGGAGGAGGGCATGGTGTTGTGGCGGAGGAAGATTATTGGAAATCAGTGTTCCCAAACAATCCGATGCCAAAGGCCTTGAAAGCTATCTTACCACCAGCAAAATATGATTGGAGAGTTGAGCGTATTCACACTTTGCCCGACGGTAACGAGGGGTTTTATGATTGGATTGGTAAAAGCTATCGAACAGGAAATGACATGTTCTATGATTGGAGTTCTGAGTCTAGTAACAAACCACGAGGAAGTGGTGAGGAACAAGCCTTTCATGATTGGAGCAACGACAAACTGCGAAGAATTAATGAGGATGCATTCTATGTTTGGAGCTCTGAACATAGTAACAAACCATCAGAAAGTAACGAGGAGCAAGACTTTTACGACTGGAGCTCTGAACATAGTAACAAATTACGAGCAAGTAATGAGGAACAAGAGTTTTATGATTGGAGCTCTAAACGTAACGAGGAGCAAGACTTTTACGATTGGAGCTCTGAACGTGGTAACAAATTACGAGCAAGTAATGAGGAACAAGAGTTTTATGATTGGAGCTCTAACCGTAATGAGGAGCAAGACTTTTACGATTGGAGCTCCCAGCGTAGGAATAAGCTGCGGGGAAATGATGAGGAGGAGTTTCATCATCGGACTCGCAATAATTTCGCTTCAATCCATGAAACTATATTCTTCTTCCCAAAGGATCTCCGCTCCGGTCAGCTGGTGAATTTACCCGGTCTCACAACAAGCGACAAAACCCCATTTCTGCATGATCGAATCGCCAAGTCAATACCCTTTTCAAGTGACAAATTGCCTGAAATTCTGAACCATTTCTCTGTAAAACCTCAAACAAAGGAAGCCAACGTCATAAACAAAACAGTCGAAGGTTGTGAAAGAGTAGCCATGAAGGGAGAACAAAAGTTCTGCGCCACATCATTACAGTCCTTCATAGATTCAAGTATTTCACACCTCGGGAAACAAATCCAGCTTCTATCAACCGAGCTCTCAAAAGAAACCAACAACTCGCTGTTTATAATCAGCAAGGGAATGCAAAACATGGGAGAAAACGAGCTCGTCTGTCATAAGATGAAGTATCCGAGAGCTGTGTTTTTGTGCCATTCGATCGACAAAACAACAGTGTATAAGGTTCCATTGGTGGGGAGAGATGGGACGAAAGCCGATGCTTTGGCGGTCTGTCACAAAGATACATCGGCTTGGAACCCCAAGCACATGGCGTTTCAGATTCTCAAAGTTAAGCCTGGAACTGTTCCCATCTGCCATTTCCTTGTTAAAGATACACTCATCTGGGTTTCTAACTGAAGAGCTTGATGATGTTTTATATAAGTGTGTTTGTATTTCAATAATCTTCCGATAAGATGTTCGGATTGTCTGAACTCATATAAGAGAAACTCCTTAATCAGTAGTCGAGGATTCAATCCTTATCTTAAATATGGAGCAGTTTTAAAACTTATGATTATCGTCTACCTCATTTAAGCTTTCAGTAATCTTCCGATAAAATGTTCGGATTATATGAACTATACATAAAAGAAGATTAAGAGCGGTCGATGATTTGAAGTAACTAGTGACCCATGGTGGTACTGGTTGGTTATCGGGACAATCGAAAAAATTTAACACCAAATACGAAATTATTTAAACGTTTAGTGACAAATCTAATACACTAACAAAACTTGATACTTAAAATGATATTTTTTAAATATTAGCGGTCAAACTTTATAATCATCATTACAGTAACTAAAAAATAAATTCACGTTACTATATCACTAAAATTTAACAGTTTAATAACATAATTAAAATTAAAACTAAAGATAAATATTATAATTAAAGAATTATAAGCTATACACAAAAGTTTAATGGTATTTGGTTTACCTTTATTTTATGAAGTTTATTTGTTTTTTATTAAAAAAATACAAAATAAAATGTGTTTGATACGCGCCATTCTGAGCGCGTGAAGAGCCGTTGGACCAAGGGAAGAGTTAAAAGGAATGGAAGTAGCAAATGAAGAAGCAGAACAAAACAGAAAGATTAGATTACGAGATTACGTAAGAGATAAAGAAATATATATATTTTTTTAGAAAAAAGAAGAAGATAAAGCAAAAGGTCCCATTGATTATTTGTTGAAAAATCAATGACATTTTCAGCTATGGCGACTACTTGTTCATCACTTTCTCTCTGTCATCTTCAGTTTCAATCACCTTCTGCCATATCTAAACCATACCCTTTTCTCTTCTTTCCTTCTTCTTCTCGTTTGAACGCAAAGAAACGATTTCAAAGCCGAAGCAGAGCTCGTTTTCTTCGTGTTCTCGCTGTCTCTGATACTGCTCTAGACTCAAGCAATGGGGTCGCCATTGATACTGAATCCGAGGACCCTTCGTCTTCTTATGGTAGACGGTACTTCCCTTTGGCTGCTGTCGTTGGCCAGGTTTCTTTTCATCTCTTTCTCTACCTCCTTTGCTACACATGGAATTTGAAGGAAAATGATATGCTTTGCTTGTGGTTTTAAAAAAATTGCTTCTTTTAGTTCGCTGCAAAGGTATAGTTTTTATGGCTTGAAAACAGGTATGGGTTTGAATCAAAAGTGGAAATTGAATGCTTAGCTTGATTTGGTTAGCTGTTGTCACATAGGATGCCATTAAAACCGCACTTTTACTTGGAGCTATTGATCGTGAGATCGGAGGGATTGCTATCTCTGGAAGGCGTGGAACAGCCAAGACTGTAATGGCACGTGGATTGCACGCAATTTTGCCTCCCATTGATGTTGTTATTGGTTCCATGGCAAATGCAGACCCTGCCTGCCCAGATGAGTATGAACAGTGAACCCTTACCTCTTATAATCTCATTAATACTTTGGTGATTTTAAATTGGATGTATCTATACATATATGTATATATTGAGCTTTTCCTTTCTTATAGAACATAGTTTTGTGCTTTATATGACTCATATGAGAGCTAATTGGTTCAGCAATAGTTTTGCATATTCATTACTTCCAAGATAGTGACATGGTCCTCATAACCTCTGAAGGTGGGAAAATGGTTTAGCTCAGCGAGTCGAATATGATTCCGAGGGCAATGTTAAGACTCAAGTTGTTCGGTCTCCTTTTGTTCAGGTATATTTCATTCTCGAAAGCTTTTCTTATCGAGTTTTGGTTTATTTTTTTTAATGCCCTGTTCGTCACTCTTGCTGTCACTCTTGCTCCAGATTCCACTTGGAGTGACGGAGGACAGACTCATTGGATCTGTTGATGTCGAGGAGTCTGTCAAAACGGGGAAAACTGTTTTTCAACCCGGCCTTCTGGCGGAAGCTCATAGAGGTGTACTATATGTTGATGAAATTAATCTTCTTGATGAGGGCATTAGTAATTTGCTTCTCAATGTGCTGACCGACGGAGTTAATATTGTCGAAAGAGAAGGGATCAGCTTCAAGCACCCTTGTAAACCGCTTTTAATTGCCACCTATAATCCAGAAGAAAGTGCTGTACGAGAACATTTATTAGATCGAATCGCAATTAACTTGAGGTATATAGCTCGTTTTGTGATGATGGAATGAGTTTCTTAGTTTCTATGTATCTATCCCAAACTATTATTGGCACACTTCCTTTGCAGTGCAGATCTTCCAATGAACTTTGAAGATCGTGTTGCGGCAGTTGGTATTGCAACAGAATTTCAGGAAGCTAGCAATAAAGTTTTTAAAATGGTTAAGGAAGAAACCGAGGATGCAAGGACTCAGGTAACCATTCAGCTGTTCTGCTTCAAGTTTTCCATCAAATCGTGCCACTACTTGAAATTTCTGAATTCTGACTCGATTCTAAGCTTTGTTTATTTGTGATGTGCATCTGAGTTTTTGTTATTCAGGCACTTTGTTATTTAGAAAGATGATTTTTATTCCTTTTGTGCATTTTTTTCTCAGATCATTTTAGCGAGAGAGTATTTGAAGGATGTCACTATTGTCCGGGAACAATTAAAGTACCTCGTTATGGAAGCCCTTCGAGGTGGTTGCCAGGTGCTGAAGATCGAATTCTAGTTTCTTACATGTCGTGCACCATTCAAAGTGTTCCCTTTTAAGATATAATGTTGATATAGATTGTGAGATATTGTTTTAATCATGCTACGAAGGAATAATTAATACTCGGATGATTTACAGGGACACAGAGCTGAGCTATATGCTGCCAAGGTTGCAAAATGCTTGGCTGCTTTGGAAGGACGGGACCGAGTCGGCGTAGACGACCTGAAAAAAGCTGTTAAGTATTTTTAGTATGATTTTGCCTCTTGACATAGCTACCGGGATTTGTCTGCATCATGAAAGCAGAAAACTAGAGAAGTGGCAAATCAATTTGTGTTGATATGTTATATAATACAGGTGGAGCTTGTCATCCTCCCTCGTTCGATTATCAATGAGAATCCACCAGATCAACAAAACCAACAGCCGCCGCCTCCACCTCCACCTCCACAAAATGAAGACTCCGGGAAGAGCAGAATGAGGAGGAAGAGCAAGAGGTATGTTGTCATTAAGCACCAAATTTTGCTGTTCCTTGATAAATGTCGTCATTCATTTATTGTTGTTTGTAGTGAACTAAGATATGCCGAAGTCCTTGTTGAGGATTTAGCCATCTTCTATTTGTCTATTTCGATTTTTTACTGGTGAAATAAGTTCACTGAAACTGTGAGGCTTTGTATACAACAGGATGAAAGTGATCAGGAGAACGAGCAACAGGAGCAATTGCCTGATGAATTTATCTTTGATGCCGAAGGGGGTTTGGTGGATGAGAAACTACTTTTCTTTGCACAACAAGCACAGAGGCGACGGGGGAAAGCTGGAAGAGCCAAGAATGTAATATTTTCCGAAGACAGAGGCCGATATATTAAACCAATGCTCCCAAAGGTTAGTCTATTTCAAATCATCTTTACATTGTTTTTTCCTAACCTTAACTTCATTTTTTGAATAAGCTATGTTGTTTTTATCACAGGGCCCTGTGAAGAGACTAGCTGTTGATGCAACGCTTAGAGCTGCTGCACCATATCAAAAGTTGCGTAGGGAGAAAGACATTCAGAAAAGTAGGAAAGTTTTCGTGGAGAAAACCGACATGAGGGCTAAAAGAATGGCAAGAAAAGCAGGAGCATTGGTATCTATGAGCTACTTTTGTTTACATTTATTATTAATTTTATTTATGTATCTAGCAATAAATACCTTCCTGTTCCTAATTATTTCAGCGTACCTCATCGTTATTATACTAAATACTCTTAGAGGATTATGGTTGATGATAATTTCTGGGCTTCCATTGGCATGAATTTATCACCAGTTACCATGAATTTAGGCATAAGAATTGGAGCAATTGATGTGTAAAGATTGTTCGATCCAGTTGTTTTAACCGGAATCTCTCTAGAGTAAAGTAAATTCCATTCAAATATTGATAAACTATTGTTATGTTCGGGGTTCATACATATACATTTCATGTCAGGTAATATTTGTGGTTGATGCAAGTGGGAGCATGGCATTGAATCGCATGCAAAATGCTAAAGGCGCTGCGCTTAAGTTACTGGCCGAGAGTTATACAAGCAGAGATCAGGTAAACAAGAGACACTTTTGTTCTGTGCTTTTAAGCGTACAAACCTTGCTAGTTCTTAACTGATCTGCAAAAACAAAACCGTCAACACCGATGTAATAAAACCATCATGAATATTTCTTTGTAATAATTTGTTTCATTTTGCTTGTAATGCCGAATAGGTCTCCATTATACCTTTCCGTGGAGATGCTGCTGAAGTCCTGCTGCCTCCTTTGAGGTCAATTGCAATGGCAAGAAAACGTCTCGAGAGACTTCCATGTGGCGGTGGCTCTCCCCTAGCTCATGGTTTAAGCATGGTATGCAGATATACAGAATCCTTCAATTTGTAGCTCGGATTTTTCTGTAGCGATAAAAATTTGTTTTCATTGTATATTCTGATGCAGATTAACTGTTCTCCTTTCTAAGTACTTTATCAACTTAATATTATCAGGCAGTTAGGGTTGGGTTAAATGCAGAGAAAAGTGGTGATGTTGGACGCATAATGATTGTTGCAATTACCGATGGAAGGGCCAACATATCACTGAAACGGTCCTCCACCGATCCGGAAGCCGCTGCTTCTGATGCTCCCAGACCGTCAGCACAAGAGTTAAAGGTAAATTTTGGCATGTATATCTAGGGATAATATCATTATGACTGTAAAAAACATGCTAATCTGCTATTGAGCCAAGTATAATTATAACAATTTCCGGCCTTTACTGGACGGAAAGATACACATGAAGGTTTTAGGATGTTATCTGTGTTTGACCAAATGATTTTCATACTGTTCGTGTGTATTGCAGGACGAGATTCTTGAAGTGTCCGGTAAAATATACAAAGCAGGAATGTCTCTTCTTGTAATTGACACTGAAAACAAGTTTGTTTCAACTGGTTTCGCCAAGGAAATCGCCCGAGTAGCTCAAGGTGCGTTGACTGAAACATTTTATTCGTTTTTATGCATACGGAATGCAATGAAATGGTGTCTCATTGATTCAATCTTGCAGGGAAGTATTATTATTTGCCAAATGCTTCAGATGCAGTCATCTCAGCTACAACAAAGGAAGCCTTATCGGCTTTGAAAAGTTCTTGATTCCAAAGCATCGTATAGGTTTTCACCAACTGTGAGATAATATACTAGTTTCCTTCCGGAATTTGATCCGAAATACTCATTGTATCACGAATCGTGCCATGTCAGGATTTTTTGTGTTTCTCTAACATCTTCCTTCTGTATCATCATTGTTCAGTCATAAAACAGAGTTTTAAGTGATCGCAAAGGGATTATGCAACTTTTTCTCCCTACCTTTCTCAAATTGGTTTATGATGATATTATATGTACCTTTTAACAAAGAAGAACCTCAGTACCTGTCCGACACATTTTCAGATACGAGTATACTCTTACGAGGGTATGATACTAAAACAGCGCTCTCATCTGGGATGCCCTTCTTTGCCATCATCTTCGTCTTCTTCGAATGAAGCTTCAGCGATCAGCACCCTGATTTGCTTCTTAAGCTCATAGATCTATACTGTCTTCTCCGCATGCTGTTTCTGTAGTGTTTCCAACTTTGATGGTGGTTTCACAGGTTTAAATATGTCAAAAGTCACATTTAGTCTCATAATTAAACTAAAATTCTATGATTAAAAGCAGAGGACTAAAATTTAAATTTAGAAAGAATACAGAGATTGAGAGCATAATTGGACCCTAGTTTAATTGATTAATTATTTATGATAATTTCAAAAATAGGTATAAAATATACCATCTTTTTCATCTAGTTATATAAAATATTTTTTTATCAAAATAAGTATATAAAGTTTGCCATCAAGGTTAGTGTCATTGAATATAAAAGATATTTTAAGTACATAGATGAAAAAGTTTGTATATTTGAAGTATCTTTTTGGATCAAAAAAATATTTTCGGCAATTAAATGAAAAGTAAGGTATACTTTAAGTACGTAATTTTGAATTAAGCCATTATTTATAGCTAATAACATGGAAGGTTTGTTTGTAGAAGAATAAGTATACTGAAAAGGCCTCTTTTTTCGGCCTTTGTATTTCAGTAAAACAGAAACCAGAAGCTCTAAGCAGTGTATCATTTCTCTCTTTTCACTTTCCTTGTGGTTTTCAATCAAAAGAAAATGGCAAATGAGAAGACATCCCAAGCTGGGGTTTGGCCAAAGGTTAAGCCTTTCATCAATGGAGGCACCTCTGGTATGCTTGCCACTTGTGTCATCCAACCCATTGACATGATCAAGGTTGATTTCCACCTTTCATTTCTTCTAGATCATCCAAATTGATGGGTTCTTTTTTGTTTTTTAAGATCTGGGTTTTGCTTGGATTTGTTTGTTTGGTGTAGGTGAGAATCCAACTCGGTCAGGGATCAGCAGCATCTGTCACCAAGAACATGCTTCAAAACGAGGGCGTTGGTGCCTTTTACAAGGTTCTTATTTTGCTTAGATTTGTTCAAATCTGTTTCCCAGATCATTCGATGCGATATTTATTATGTTGCTCGGATTCCAATGTGAGTGTGATTTGTATGGTTTTGTGCAGGGACTATCAGCTGGACTTCTTAGGCAAGCTACATACACTACCGCTAGACTCGGATCATTCAAGTGAGTCTTTATGAATGAGATAGATTTTGCTGTTTGCTTCCGATTATCGGCTTCGATTCTGATCGGTTGGTTGTATTTTCTTCAGAATGTTGACGACCAAAGCGATTGAAGCCAATGACGGGAAGCCCCTACCTCTATATCAGAAGGCATTGTGTGGTCTGACTGCCGGTGCTATTGGAGCCTGCTTCGGAAGCCCTGCGGATTTGGCACTTATCCGTATGCAAGCTGATGCCACTTTGCCTGCTGCACAGCGCCGGAATTATTCGAATGCATTCCACGCTCTCTATCGTATCGTTGGCGATGAAGGGGTTCTGGCACTTTGGAAAGGTGCAGGTCCGACCGTAGTCCGAGCTATGGCATTGAACATGGGGATGCTTGCCTCTTATGATCAAAGTGTCGAGTTCTTCAAGGACTCCCTCGAATTAGGTGAAGCCGCAACCGTGGTAGGTAAGCGTCTAGAATCCGACATTCACTATGTTAGTCCAATAGCATAATCATAGTGTACGACAATTTGAGCCTCGATGAATGCTTCTCGTTTTCTTCGTCTCAGGTGCGAGTGCGGTTTCAGGCTTCTTCGCTTCAGCTTGCAGTTTACCATTTGATTACGTGAAAACACAGATCCAGAAGATGCAACCCGATGCCGAGGGGAAGTATCCATACACCGGCTCATTAGATTGTGCCGTGAAGACCCTCAAGTCCGGCGGACCATTGAAATTCTACACCGGATTCCCTGTTTATTGTGTTAGAATTGCTCCTCACGTCATGGTACGTATGTTACATACTTGTCCATATTTGATCCTCGGTTCAACTACGTACCGAAAGAATCGAAACTAGTTCCGAATTATCCCCGGTGATACTGAATCCGAAATGTTCTGTTATGCAGATGACCTGGATTTTCCTGAACCAGATTCAGAAGATAGAGAATAGGATGGGGTTATAGTGATCTCAGCAATGGAGGATTATAATCGAAGCATCAAAATAAATATTTTTGCATAATTTTTTATGTTTTGTACTAATAATATTTTTGGATTTAACAATTCATGCACATAAAATATTGAAATGATTTGCTATTTCCATATAACAAGCATATTTTTTTAATAATATATTAACGGAAAAGTGACATGATTGCTATCGCTGAATAGAATGATCGAACTTTAACTTTTGAAATATGATGATCCAATTGTAAGTTTACACATAATACAGTGACATGTGCTGTAATTTTCCCTTACATATTCTTCACTTGGAATGTCAGCTATGGCTCCCTTGGGAGGTCCCCAAGGGAGCCAACAAGGTTTCATCTTCATTGTAACATCTAAGAGGTCGTCGAACATAAAATATCTCAAACACGAGAAATTACCGAATTAATAGTAAATAAAATAACAAAGCAAACCTGAATTAATTTCAACCAAATTACATTTTATAACAAAATCAAGGAATTTAAAGGCATAACAAGCAATGTGAAGGAATTCAAGGCACAAAATAAACCTATTCAGCAAGTATTGATTCCATTCTCGCAATCTCTGGTTAAATTATAAAAGGTTTCTACTCAGATCTTCGATCGATAACGTACCTCAGTATCCACGGCAACTCTCATGTATCCGTTGAACTCAACCGGTTTCCTGATGTTCAGCATCGTAGTCTCGTTGTACCACTCACTCTTGTCGCTCCATAGTTCCTTATAATCATCGAGCAAATGGACCTTATAATGAGACCTCAAGTTATCAAAGTAATTATAGAACGGCTCATTCGTCGCGATGAAAAGGTTCCTCTATCGCTGAACCATTTATTTGACCTTCGTGAGAATTGCATCAGGAGACGTATCAGAATCCAAGTGCGGCCAAAGCTGTTTGTTCTGTGCTTTTGCCCCTCGAACCACATGCAAAGCATCGAAATCCCAGTCCATTCTTCCGCTGATTTTGGTCACGATATTCATCAATCGCTTCGATTTACATATCGCGTGCCAAGGCCGATGAATGTACTTAGCTGCTTGCCCCTCGCATACCCGATACCAATAATTTTCCGGCTCTGGACCATCGAATTACCTCCAAATGACTGTGCTCTTATCTTTCTTGAGTTGCATTGGTGTGACTTTATGGGCCTTTAACTTCTTCACTGTCACTTTTCGTTTATGCTCCTCATCCCATTTCTTCCAATCTCTCAACTCGCTCTCCCCCACAATGGACACCGTCTCCTTAAGATGCTCGAAATCGAAATAAAACCGAAAATCTTTTCCCTCCTCATCTCTGTTGCTCGAACTGGAAGTCGCAGATAAACATAAGTTCAAATCCATCACAAATGTCCGATTCAAATACATAGCTTGCCCTAAACCACAGAAGAAACTCCACAAGTACTGATTCATTCCCTTGCAGTAATCCCCTCCCCTTCCATAATACAGATACTTCCCTTTCCTAAAGTTCATTTCCGAACCCAAAGTCGGAATTCTATCATTTATCTCGTCGTCCCGTATCGGTGGTGCAAGCTTTGGCTTCCGGTTCCCGCCACCACTCCTTGTAGTGTTAGGCTGAATCCGAGGTGATTCCCGAATGCCACCGACCGGTATGCCTCACCTTATAGGTACAGTTCTCACCGATCCCAAACTGGAACCTTCGGAAATCCCTATACTTTCTCCAAGACTTCTCTTTCTTGTTCCTGAACCTCCAAAAGACATCACATTCATCCGGTTTCGTCCCCTTGACCGGAGTTTGATACTCCAAGAACACGATAGACTTGAAAATTTTCAAATTGAATTTCTTTACTGCGAGTAGAAGCAATGGATCCGAACAATTTAACTTCACAGTCGGATTTAAAGCTCGAATTCGAAATTTTCTATTTGGACTTTTCAATCATGGTTTCAGCGACCGGATTGGGTGCCAAAGCAGGTGACACTACCGGTAAAGCGGGGGCCACTGCCGGTAAAGCGGGGGCCATTGCCACCACTGAACCAGGAGGTGCTGCCGCCAAAACAGGGGCCATTGCCACTGAACCAGGGGCCGATGCCGACACAGCGGGGGGAGTCGCCGCCATAGCAGGAGGCGTTGCCGCCAAATCGGAGGGTGTTGCCGGTAAAGCCGGGGAACAGCCGGAGCCGTTGCAGAAAGCAAATCTTCACTGGTTTTGATGATGGAATCATCGGTTTTGAAAGTGGCATTTTCAGTTTGAGTGAAGAGCTTCGTTAAAGAAGGAGCTGATTCCAGCCATGGATCTGGGGGCTGGTATGTGATGGCAATGGCTGTGAATATGAGCACCGACAACACAAACACAGAGAAACACACATTGCTTATCAGTTTTATCAGATTCTGTCCGATTGGCTCGGTGCTCAACTCAGATTCCTTGGTGGGTTTCCTCATTATCCTCGAAAAACTCAATTCCAGAAAACGAACCAGATCTCCAGATAAACCAACGAAACAAACAAATTTCAATAACAAATACGAGAAACTAAGGTGATTACTTCATGGGTTTTGATTGTTTTTGAAAAGCCAGTAGCACAAACGAATGAATGAGATCTTGATTACAGTAACGAAATAGAGAAGAAAGAAGCTTACACGCGAATGTGTTCAATGGGGCTCTAGCTTTGCTGTATTTTGAAGAAAAGGTGTGATTAACGAGAGGGAAAAGCACAAAAAAAACGAAAGAAATGAGATTTGGACGACAACAACCACAATAAAACCTATTCACATATGTAATTAGATTAGGAGATGTAGGGTAGTAGGTTGCTCTAATGTTAGATTGAGAGTAGTTTCCCTGAAAGATCTCCGACAATTAAAAAATTTAAAAATAAAGATAAAATACAATGCATGTATAAATAAAGAAAGAAATAAATAAATATATAATTGAACAGTCTTCATATGCACGTCTGTAATGAAAAATTATCCCTACAAATAAATCTCTGTGTACAAATCTCTGAATATGGACAACAAAAAACGTGAGTCCTGAATAAATTTAAAAGACAAAACATGATAAGGATATACAGAAGTCAGTAGTTGCAAGCTACGATAAAAGAATAATGTCAAATGGGTTAAAACCTAAACTAATGCAACATTACTCTGCTATCTTAGTTCTAATCCTTCAAAAATTCTCATGACAAAAAAGTATTAAAAAGTAGAAGTCAATGAAATTACTATAAAAGCATTAAAAAGGTGACAGAGATGCTACACCCTATGACTGTGACTCACAGTACTCTGCTACCATGGTCTTAAGTCTCCATACTTTCCTATCAGAGATCATGTCCTCGGTAAGGGCTAAATCCTTCAAATCAGATCTCAAGCAGTCTACTCACTTCTTCATTGGTCGTCCTCTCCTTCTGGCACCGTCGACTATAATCGACTCTACCCTCCTAACCGCATCCAACTATTGTCTCCTAAGGGCATGCCCAAACCACCGTGAACCTCCCTCCCTCAATTTTTCAGATACATGCATCACCTCCAAAGACATCCTAATTACAGAATTTGAGTCATTTCCACAGAGTCTTACCACATGTCCATCGAAACATTCTCATTTTTTTAGACAAGTTTATTTTAAAGCTAAATGTTTGGTGTGGGCTCATTGTCCAAAAAGCTTTGAATTGAGCAAAAGGATGGAGCTGTTGGCAGAATTAGTAGTTTACACTTCACTTTCATTCTCTTTAATAACGCATTAAAATCCAGAAATATCGGATTTTTATCACAAAATAATCGTATGAAATATGTATATTTAATTTCTAATCATTGTTGGTATAGAAAAAAAAAATCAACTTGCTTAAGCTTACATTCAAAGTAAAGGGTTAAAATCAATTTTACACAACAGCATGGTTATAGTCATGGTAATGGAAAGTCTTGTAGATGAAATGAGCCAACCATCTTGAAGCTGCGAAGCAAATGATAGCTGTTGAATCGATTGCTGTTCTAGCCACCATCGACATCATGTTCTGCTTTGTTGCAGCAACGATCCCGATGGAAACAACAGATATGATTCGCAGGATTACTTCGAGTGCATTGAGACCTTTATATGCAGTTTTGCAACTCTTGCAATTCACCACGAGTCCAGTACCTGGATTCCGAATGGAAGTTGATTTTGTAAGCTTATATTTATCGGGGAAAGAGTGTTGGATGCACGTACATATTCAATACGGCTATGCTCATTCCTTTACAATTTGAAAGGATATATCTTGATTCTCATGTTCAGAAATATGCCTAACTCAGGTATATGACGAGGGTACTACTGATGAGTCGGAGCAATATAATGAAATTACTAAATTTATCTGTCCATCAGCTGCTCTCTAGGAGGGGATGGAGGAAGAGCTCCACTAAACTTCCCTTTCCAATCGACCTTGCCAACGGCATACTTGTTGAACCACCTTCGAAAGCCAACCACCAAGGCATCTGACTTTGTAGGCACAAAACAAGCTTTCTGCCAATTGGTAACTCCGATTTCCATTATCTTACGCTCCTACATTGAGAATTAAAAAAGTTTCCTTTGTAAGTGTCTCATGACACGGGTATGTTCATTCTTTTTAATCTATTGTAGGAAGTTCTCGAATATAATATCAGACACGAATACTTCATGAAAAACAAGTAGTTGGAACATCATATTTTGAATGAAACTCATTATGGAGGCAGAGATAAAGGGATCACCTCAACATGGAGAAGATACAAATCAGAATCAGGTTTTGTCCAATGTGAAACATCCCTCTGGGAACAGTTTTGTCAACCCAAACACGAAAGTTCCTCGGGAAACACCAAATCAATTTGCTATTACCTGGACTAACTGGAACACAGATAAAAATCAAAGAAATTCTTCGATTTGAAGGTTGTCCCTGCACAAGTTACTGTCTATGAGTATAGATCCATAAATAATATTTCCTTATCGATAAAAGGGTATCAAGGAAATTCTGCAGTTGTATAATATGCTATAACAGACATGACAGTCCGCCGGTTAAACCAGCTGATCCGGTCTTTTTAATGACTAGTAAATGGTAAATAGCAACATAATGAAATGAATGTAGAACCCTTTGGATTTCGGAAGATGTTGCAG